AAGCAGCGCACCGTCCTTTGTCCTGATATGTAAAATATAAAATACTGTCGTGGTATCAATGCCTTGGCCTAGTTTTTAATCAATGTTTCTACTTCCCCTAGTTCTCATCCTGAAGGGAAAAAGTCGTCCCATAGAATTTTACGACAGGCAGTTTTTATGTCGCATCAACTCCGTAATCGGACTCAGAAAATGTCCCAATTCGGTAACGTAACAAAACAGGAGTTTTTAAAGTTGGAAAATGTTTAGCCTCGTCGCTGATTACTTCGCAACAGTTCCGAACTAGCGATAGCGCGGGCGAGCGCTCGGAATGTGGACCCCAAGTAGGGTTGCCATAGGGTTGGTAGTTGGAGCTAAGTTGTATAATTATTCTGTAGCAAAATTGTAGGTTCTGGTGTTCAGCTAACATTGTTATATTTTTAAACAAAACCATCCAAAATTTCACTGAGGAAACCACCTTACTTTAATTTTCAGCATCTATCCTTGGACTCCTTCTGCTGGGACATATTGCTACACTAGCCCCTTTGGCAGACGAACTGGCGAGCGAAATGTGGTATTTCTATTCTCTAGATAAATTTATTACTGACGTGTAGAACTAGCTAGAGCATCGCACGCCAATCTAATGAATAAAAATTAGTATAATGACTATGACATTTAGATAATGCTTTCTGAAAAATTTTATCTAGTTTTTGAATCGTCGCCAACCCTAACCCCAACTACGATCTCAGTCGTGTAAGAGTAGTTCTCAAACTCCTATCAACGTATATACCTTAACCAGATGAATCTCTTCAAAGCGAAAGTCGACCACCAAGTTTCAGTTTTTGGATGTTTATAAGCCAATTTGTGGTTAAACTGTTTTAGGGAGTGGGAAGTTGGTTTCAATAATATAAAAAAGTAGTTGTGAGTACAGCAGCCCCCAAAAACTAACATCACCTCATGCAATATTTTAGGACCTGGTATACATACATACATACATACATCACGCCTTTATCCCTTGCGGGGTAGGCAGAGCGTCAACGTATGGTATACGGTACCATAGTACCTATTCTTTGACAGTAAATCGTTTTATCGACAATATTTACAGTCATGACGTCATGACATTCACTATACAAAGTAAGACCACTTGTGACAGCCGCAATTTGGTGCGGTGACGTGTGACGTGATACCTATCCGGTTTTAATAATAAAAATGAACATCCTATACAAAACAATAGCTGGCTTATAAATTTCTATGGGATATTTTTTTCATATTTTTGACTTAGCGGAATGACCTTCTTAGGGGAAAATTATTCAGTTTGGCTTTTGAGCTCAGCGTTTTGGCCTCGGCCGTGTAGTATATTCTAGTCTATATACTACATATCTACACTATATCTTTATGTAGGTACAAGGTCCGGCCCAAAGCCCAAAAGGCACACATTCCAGCAAGTTTGTTCGAGGGTTAATAGTCGAATAACCCCAACACTAAACTGCCAGACCCGGTCATTATTGTTACGAGCAGTAGGTACCTACTACTAGTCTAGTGATTTATTCTAAATCTTTTTCAAGTGTTGTTCTATGTTTTTTTTTCTGCGGGTGTCACAAGAGGCGACTAAGGGACTCCAAGGCTTAATCTGTATTATAATTTTAAGTGACTGGCCGATCGTTAATGATCGGCAATTTTTAACGCTCTGCCTGAATGACTGTTTGTAGAACTATGTTGATGTAGGTAAATCATACGACGACAGAGTAGGACTGATCACGCCTGCAAAGTTTATATCGATACCTACTCTGTCCTTTACACCCTAAATAAAAATGAAATATTACAATTCTCTATCATAAAACAAAAATAAAAAGGTCCTACCAATAAAATATATCCTCAAGAAAGAAGAACACATAGGCCGATTCTCAGAGTATCTTACGAAAGCAGTGAACACCGAAAATAATGGTAAGGACATGAAACATAATACGAAGGAAATATGACAATGTATGGCACTTGAGTGAATTCTAAAGATATTATTTTGGGCACACGAGGGCCCTACAGTCGCTACAGATAATGTATCTGAATTGCTTATCCTAGCCTATCAAATTGAGTATAAGTACCTATTTATCTGAACAAGGGTTATATTTTGAGTGGAAATCACGGAACAAGTGCTCTTATCCGACTGCCTCAGAAGGAGGGTTATGTTTTTCGAGAGTATGTATGTATGTATGTGGACAAGAAAATTCTTTTTCACGGGCTACAGCCCAAACGGATAGTTGGATTTTGATATATGTGGTGTCGGTAGATTTGTCTCAGCAGCGCGAGTGACACTATATTAAAAAATTAACGATTCAAGATGGCGGATTTTTATAGCAAAATACTACTTTAAAATCACCGCAGTCGGGTTTTTGTTTTTAACACATCTTTTCAGTCTCGATTGTGAAGTAAGAGCCACCACGAATAAAGACTCGCGGAAAAGAAAATAGGCGGATAATTTAGCATCTCTAGATTTCACAGGTCTTTGACATGCATTGAGACATTATTTCATTCTCATCCATCACAGAAAAGGACATAATCATTTGGCCATACAAGTTTAGGCCCGTCACAAATGCGTCGATAATCGAAAAGTATTCGTGGTGGGCCCAGAATTGATTATCACATTTAAATTGTTTGACTTAATGCTATATTGAACATTTTATTCAATATCAAAGAAATATTTTGTGATGTCATGTTAGAAATGTATGTCAAAGATATTTTTTTTAGGTGAAAAGTTAAACGCCTAAAAATTTTAAGAATAAATAATATTGATATAGTGGAACTAATGTTCAAAATCGTCCTATTACAAGTTTTTTTTTTTTTTTTTTTTTTTTTAGTGTGGCTATGCCACTGGCTTCACATCTCGTGAGTTGAGACGTATTTCGCCATTTATGTCAGGTTAGGTTAAGTCGGTCGGTTAGGTTTGAAGTCAAGTAAGGTTATTTGGCATTACGCCGAGGGAGAGTCCACAGCACAGAGATCCTAGTCTTTCGACTAGGGGCTGTGCTGCGCAGTTTGTGTGGCAACAGAAACGTGATAGTAAAATTTCTGCGCCACGTGGTAATTCGCTCGTCACTATTACACAATGTCAGATATATGCTTTAATTACGATTTTCTATTTAACGTTCACTTTAAGAATAGTTTACTGTATAATACACTATCAGAATTATTCACTAAACACTCAAATAAACGAAAAAAACAAAATTATAACCAAATCACATCCGCCATTACGGAATAGCAGCGAACGAATCCCTATTACAAGTTACCTGCTTTATAAACCGAGATAACCCCACCTAAGCTCCCCTTTGTTATACAACCAGCCCAGTCAATTTTATAAAGTCAAGGCAGTATGTGGTAACAATAAAATAGTTTCTTCATTGTACCGGCAGGTGGGATCTCTGGGGAAATTAGCCATAGATTGCAACGTCAAAAAGTTGATCACATATTGTGCTCGATCTCTTGCAGGTATTGCTTGAGGGTCGCAGCACGTTTTATATTGCCTTCTGTGCTTCTAATGTGAGTAGAAATTCTTTATCTCATGAATAAGTAGGTTTTTATATAGGGTAAAATTGTTCAAGTGACCTATAGAGAAAACTCAGAATCGGCTGGTGATAAGGAACAACTTTTCCCAGGAAATATGTTTAAGTTATTCAAAGCAGCTAATCGGCAATTTTGTATGGGAGGTTAAACTTTTATTTTCATTTTTCGACCTATATTCCTTAAGGAACGTTAATTCTTATCACTAGCCCATCCTGCGTTAGTAAAATTTCGCCCTATGTAGTAAATTCGTAAAAGCACAACAAAAAATAATAAGAGAAGATCATCGTTGTAAAATTCATTCCTTTGACGAAATAAAACATGATTCTTTTTAATATTAACCTTCAAGTGTATATCCTGAAATTATTCTTCACAAGTACCGAAGTACCTACCTTCCCATTTCATCTCAAATCCAATAAAATATTAACAACTCTTTCAGCTCCCAAAACTTCCGCTCTGGTAAACTTTATTACAACTTTACACATTTGCGAGATACAATTTGAAAGTGGGCTCTTATTTTTTCTAACATTTCTTTGCTAGTAGATAATTCGGGGTGCTAAGAATCTTTGCAGGCATATTTGGAATTCGGATTTTGTAACTGAACAACTTTCCCTGTAGAGCATTATAGGAAAGGACAATTAAGAGAGAGAGAAAATATCCATTCAGCAGATTCGCTTACTCTCTTTCTCTCTCTGTGTGTGTCTTCGTGTGGGACACCGAGTCATTCAACGACCCGATGAACCCTGGTGTCAGAGTGTATCAGTAGAAACTAGTTTTACATTTTCGATTTTAGTAACAGTGAAAGTTCTTCAGTTTTCTTTTGTAGACAGATCTTCCCTGCAAATTTTTTGTACCTACACTGCAATCTCCTGCACACTCGATATAATAATATCTACCTTAAAATAGAGTTATGTGTATAGAGTTAGTTTGTTTAACCTCAGCTGAATATCTGTGGACTAGGTATGGTCAACCGCATGGTGGCGGTGATACCAGCTACAATAGCATTCCCCAAAAAGGGTTTAGGTACGTCAGGCAGACGTCCGGTCATTAAACATTGCCAAATACTTTTGCTACATGATAATGTACCAAAACATGTTGTGCTGACTCCAACTAATTTGAGGTAAGGGCAGGCAGATGATGATGATGTGTTTGGAGTAAGTTATAATAGGATATACGCTAATAATTCTCCTAATAGCATCAATAAAACACAGTTGCGTTTAATTGCTTTACGGTCAATCTAACCAATTGTGCTTTATTGCTTCGATAATCGATATTTATTATTGTTATTGCTGAACTACAAACATTAGGCACTAATAAGTCTTGTCTTGTACTTAGAAACACATGATATATACTTAGCAGCAGCTTTCTTTTCTATGACTTTGTTAATTCTTGGCAAATGGCATAAGCACATAGTATGAGCGGGCGCGGCCCATAAACAGAAAGACGGCTACAAGTAAGTGACGTTTACTTGTAACTTTGTGGTTAGTAAGACTGCCTGCCACGCAGATGGTACCGGGTTCAATTCCCGGTGGGGTCACTCACAAAGTTGATAATTTATCACTTTGTGAATTTGTTCCCAGTCTGGTTAGGACATTGCAGGCTGAACCACTTGATTTTCCGCATAGCAAGATGGTTTCGTGCTTCGGATAGGCGAGTTAAGCCGTCGGTCCCGGTTGCTGCAGGCTGTCTATGATGGCGGTCGTTACTCAGCCATGTCAGTGGCCTGCTACTTGCAGAAGGCGGTTGAAAAACTCTGACACAGGCTCATAGGGTCGTTGAACGACTCGGTGTCCCACACGAAGAGAGAGTCATCTACCTGCACGCCGTCGTTTACGCGCGAAAACAGATCTAATCAGCACGGCTAGGTAGTTGAGTGTCAACAGTGTTCGGTGTGGCCGGACGGCAAAACTACGTTTCGCAAAGGCAAATAAATTTGTAGTGTATTATAGTCAAGTGTAAAATAGTTTCAGTAATGTTCCTATCTGGGTTTAACCCAGGTACAACCTTATGTCAATAATTTAAAAAAGAAGAAAGCCGTGTGATGCCGGCTTAGAATAGCATCACCCCATTTCTTTCCTGTGGGTGTCGTAAGAAGCGACTAAAGGACTCGAGGGTATCATGTGTATTGCAATTTTAGGCGACAGGCTGACAACCTGTCACTATAGCGATACACGACAATAGCTAAAACGGCCCTCAAATATGTGTCAGACGTGGCGATAACGACCGTACTTTTACGGTCGTTGACGCTCTGCCTACCCCGCAAGGGATAAAGGCGTGATGTATGTATGTATGTATGTATGTATGTAAGGGACAGTTTACCGAAAACTTTGGACGCATTACATTAAGTACCTTTACTCTTAGGTCGCTAATTTTTACCCGACTACAGCAAAGCAAAAAGGAGGGTTATGATTTTGACCTGTATGTATGTATGTTTGTATGTATGTGGCATAAATTTCGTCTGTTCCCTCATAACTCCCGAACTACTTATCCAAATTCGACAAATGAGGTATCAATAGAAGCGTCTGAACAGTCTGGTGGTTATAGGCTATATAATGTCAAAATAAATTTAATATGGCGCCCTCTATACAGTGTGAAGTAACGAAGAAAATATTTATTTTCTTGTACTGGTATCGAGTTGGGTATCAAACGAAAGGGCTGAATTAGCACAATCCAGAAATATATATATTTAAACTCGAAAACGTAGATTTTCTTAGATAATGAAGTCGGAATAAAGATAAAGTATCGCACTAACACTTTTGGCAAACATTTTATAATCGAGCTCATTTGACTCGGACTTGTCATATTGTTGATGATAAAATTTATTTGACATGTAAGCACAAGATACATAAAATATCTATGGCAAACCCGTGCGTATAAAACAAAGGTCTTATACGCAACGAACATCTTAATGTAAAAGATCTTTTATGTATCTATAGTACTAGCTGTTGCTACTCAGTTACTACCTGATACGAAGTTGGTTGCGAATGGGGAGATTCATAATCACTCAGTGCGATCCAAACACGCAAAAAGAAACATATACTCACAGAAAAAAGAAAGGTGGACATTTACTTTAGAAGTGAAAATCGCACCAACCATCGACCCGGGGGGTTGAGGGGGGCTTGCCCCCCTCACAGAAAAAGGAAACGTGGACATCTACTTTAGAAGTGAAACTCGCACCAACCATCGACTCGGGGGGTTGAGGGGGCTAGCTCACAGAAAAGTAAAACGTTAACATCCCCTTTAAAAGTAAACCTTGCACCAACCTCTCCTCGGGTGATCGCTGCATTTACGTTTGCCACCTAGTGGGAAAAGAAAGGCTTTAAGGCGATGAATGCAGCTATTGGTCTTCTCGACAATAGTTTCACTTCAGGCGATTTTAGGTTGGTTTTGCGTTATTAGCCAAGGTACGCTTACTTAATTTCGCATCCTTTTCTTCTGTCACTGTCTCTTCTACCTCTATGAATCACAGAAAAAAAGAATCGTAAACATCTACTTTAGAAGCGAAACTCGCACCGACCATTGACTTGGGGGGGAAAAGAATCGTAAACATCTACTTCAGTAGCGAAACACGCACCAACCACCGAACTGGGGGGGTTGAGGGGGGCTTGTCCCCTCACAGAAAAAAGAAATGTGGATATCTACTTTAGAAGTGAAACTCGCACCAACCATCGACTCGGGGGGTTGAGGGGGGCTTGCCCCCTCACAGAAAAAAAAACGTGTACATCTACTTTAGAAATGAATCTCGCACCAACCATCGACTCGGGGGGTTGGGGGGGGGAGGAGCTTGCCCTCCTCACAGAAAATAGAATCGTAAACATTTACTTTAGATGTGAAACTGGCACCAACCATTGACTCGGGGGGGTTGAGGGGGGCTTGCCCCCTCACAGAAAAAAGAAATGTGGACATCTACTTTAGAAGTGAAACTCGCACCAACCATCGACTCAGGGGGTTGGGGGGGGCTTGCCCCCCTCACAGAAAATAGAATCGTAAACATCTACTTTAGAAGCGAAACCACCAACCATCGACCCGGGGGCTTGAGGGGGGCTTGCCCCCCTCACAGAAAAAAGAATCGTAAACAGCTACTTTAGAAGTGAAACTCGCACCAACTATCGACTCGGGGGGTTGAAGGGGGGCTTGCCCCCCTCACAGAAAAAAGAAACGTGGACATCTACTTTAGAAGCGAAACTCGCACCAACCATCGACTTGGGGGGTTGAGGGGGGCTTGCCTCCCTCATAGAAAAAAGAATCGTAAACATCTTCTTTAGATGTGAAACTGGCACCAACCATTGACTCGGGGGTTCAGGGGGGCTTGCCCCCCCCCCTCACAGAATAAAGAATCGTAAACATCTACTTTAGAAGTGAAAATCGCACCAACCATCGATCCCCGGGGGGTTGAGGGGGGCTTGCCCCCCTCACAGAAAAAGGAAACGTGGACATCTACTTTAGAAGTGAAACTCGCACCAACCATCGACTCGGGGGGTTGAGGGGGGCTTGCCCCCCTCACAGAAAAAAGAAACGTGGACATCTACTTTAGAAGCGAAACTCGCACCAACCATCGACTTGGGGGTTTGAGGGGGCTAGCTCACAGAAAAGTAAAACGTCAACATCCCCTTTAAAAATAAACCTTGCACCAACCATCTCCTCGGGTGATCGCTGCATTTACGTTTGCCACCTAGTGGGAAAAGAAAGGCTATAAGGCGATGAATGCAGCTATTGGTCTTCTCGACAATAGTTTCACTTCAGGTGGTTTTAGGTTGGTTTTGCGTTATTAGCCAAGGTACGCTTACTTAATTTCGCATCCTTTTCTTCTGTCTCACCTCTATGAGGTATAAAAACTTTAGCGATTTTTTAACACTAGAAGTATTTGAAATTCGAGGTTTTGGAGATTTGTGACAAGCATAAATCTTTTTTAGGGTGAATTGAAAAAAGACGAGGATCATCATCAAAACTTCTTCGTTTTAACACTAAATGTCCTATCTAATAATCATGCCTTCTCATTCTTTTAAGTCAGCTTGTATTTTTCTATAGCGAAAAAGCTATCATTTACGTTTTGGAGTATGTACACTTTCCACATCTGCTACAGTATTTTACGAGAGTAGCTATATTGAGTATTCTTTGTTATTACAGGCATGTTTAGAACTTAAGTATATTAAATAAACTCCAAAATATTTAAAATAAAAAGAAGTCCAAAAGCTAAAACCCGACTACTGAGAGATCGCGCTCTAAAAAGAAAGAAACAAGAATTTTTAAATATTAACTACACACAATTTAATGCCTCTATCTAGTCTACAAAAGTCATACAAAGCTAACACCTATAATAATTAATTTTTGTGGAAATTTAATATAAATTCATAGTCGTTTTGAGGTGCTAGCTGTGGTCGTGTGCCACTTTGCCTATATTTTTTTATTACGTAAGAAGTACTGGCATACGTGGGTGGCATACGACCACAGCTTTCACCTCAAAACCACTATATTTATATTAAATTTCCACAAAAATTAATTATTATAGGTGTTAGCTTTGTATGACTTTTGTAGACGATAGAGGCATTAAATTGTGTGTAGTTAATATTTAAAAATTCTTGTTTCTTTCTTTTTAGAGCGCGATCTCTCAGTAGTCGGGTTTTAGTTTTTGGACTTCTTTTTATTCTTTTTGAACTATTACCCCATATACTTACATCATAAGTCAGGCCCTGCTAAAAGCTCAAATAGCGATTTGGAGAGCCATTTAAACCTAGTCTTCGATTATTAAAGCTCCTAAGCCTCCACGATTACATATACTTAGTAGTAAGAATATAAAGCGGGTGTTCAGTCATTCAATGACACAAAAATTTACTTTTGTAAGTGACCATTTAGACTGACTGATTGGTTACCCATTAAAAGTATAATTTTAGTCTCAGTTTAATACGTTTGTTCTATAAACGGTACATCAAGCTACCACTAGAATGGATCAATCTATTCTGGTTTTGGTTACAAATTGTATTAAAACCAGTTTAATTTGACCTCTAGAAGATTGGTATGCTGCTGGCACCAATTTATTGGTTGATAATTCCAAAATGCTTTGATAGGCGGTTAATCAAACTTGTCTGACCTTTTCATTTCAAGGGCGGAACGACCTTTGAGTTTAGTTTAAGCCGACCGCAATAACAAGTAACCACTAGTTGACAATATCAAATACATTCTCAAAATAAATAATGTAACCTACAAGAAAAATAAGCGTGGGTAAGCAAATATAACTGCTTGTAGATAAATTTGTATAAACAAGCATATGAGTATAAAGAAACAAAAAACAAAAACCCGTCTATGGTTATTTCAAAGTTGTATTGTGCGATAAAAATCTGCAATCTTGATTTTATGAATTTTTAATAAAACCAGTGTCACTCGCGCTGCTGAAACAAATCTAACGACACCTCACATATCAAGATCCGCCCAGCCGTTTGGGCTGTAGCCCGTGTAAACAAATTTTTTGTCTACATACATACCATAGAAACATAGAATACATACTCGATATCTCGAAAAACATAACCCTCCTTCTGAGGC